AGTAGCTGTGTTGGTCCCAGAATATTAGAGGTAAAAGATGGGTGAGGTCACATATCAAACTCATCCAATTCATCCTCACCTATAACAATGTTATTTTGTTCAACCTTGGGAACAGCCATGGGTACTAGGATGGCTCCCCAATATGCCAACAGATCTTTAAGGGGGCATTGCAAGGCTTCAGTCCCCTTGCGGATCCCACCCTTTGTCACATAAACAGGACCGGGCTCTTTCCTTCAGGAAAAAATACGCACAGCTCATAGGCATCAAAACACCTAGGAAGACAATCTCCTAGTGTAGAGATTTATTTTATGTGTAATTTTGTGCCGGAGGAAGCCTGGTTAAAAAAGGAGAGAAAAACACTCCTTTTCTTTGCCTCTTAATCAGGCAAATTGGAAAGGGCCCTGGCAGACAACTGCAAATAATGAGTCAATTTACCAGAGCAATCACAGGGTGTCAGATCCACCTAATTAGCTGCCATACTGACAGAATGGTGGTGACAGTTGTAACAGCACCTTGACTTTCTTCACACCATCTCAAATGGCCCCAATCTTAGCCAACCAGTTGCTCCTATCTATAAAGTGTGCTTCAAGATTTGCCCATGGTGTAGGTTCCCCACTGCTACCCCCACCTCTGTAAAGCACCTTGAGATTTTGCTGATGAAAAGCACCACATAAGAGCTAGCCATAGGGAGGGGATGGTCCCAGCCTCAGAAGGTGGAATAGGGTGCAGCAGGCAACGCTATTTTGAACACAGGGCTTGCTTCCCTCCTGGCACCTACTTAGACTGAAAACATCCAATGGTAAGGGAGAATGACTGCCTTGCTAGCTGCAGTTGCTGCAATGAATACAAGCACCAGGGGGGAAGAGGGGAGAGAGAGCCCTAAAACCATGGGTGAAAACTCTAGGCTCTCCTGGACACTCAGGCTAGGTAGCATCTTGAGTGGCCATTCTGTATAGCTTGTATTAGCCTGTTTAGATTGGGGAACCCCAAATTTTGGTATCTACCTGTGCTTGAAAACTTCATGAACCCAAGGCAAGCAGGAATCTTTCCTGAGGAACGTCAGAAGCATCTGCATTTCATTTAAAAAAAAAGAAGTCTCTAGCCTTTCTGGTTGCCAAGCTCACCTTCCAAATGGCTATTGCCACAACATATCAGCAATATCAAACAAGGGCAACAAATCATTCCTCAGACATGGTTACCTTTAGAATTATAGTCCTAATGACTACACACCTCTTTAGGTAATGTGCATTAACTGGGACTTCTCCAGTCCACTAGCTCCTCATTAGCACTTAATCATCTTGTGACAAATCATTCCACCTTAATCACCAATGCTACAAACTGACAACTGTCAGCTCCTCCAATCAATAGCATACATCAGCATTAAACCTTATTGGAGTGAATTTAGCCCCAGTCTTCTTACAGTAATTATTTGCTAGAGATATTTACACCAGGAGCAAACAACACAGGGAACATTATAAAACATAATCCCACCCTAATTAAATCAAACTTTCTTCATGAGAGACAGTGGGTGTTTATTCCATAAAAAAACCAGAAAAGACAAATTATTTAGTGATTCTCTGGGATGGTCTTTCTTCACTAATGCTAGCTTCCCCAGTTAAAAAAGAACAGAACAGCCAAATACAAAGCTGAAATTCCTGCTTACTGCCTGGAATGGATTTGTAGCTCATTCTTAAATTATTTTACAATTTCCATAGCTTGAAATCTAGCAGATTTTACCAGTTTGACCCACCAGGAAGACAAAGTAGATCATAATTGGATAAAGTGGTCAGGGTCTGTCTTGATTTGGACGTGAACAGTATTGCTAACCTCAAACATTAAACACACTAAATCAGCCCAACAATCATGGAATTTAAAAAAACAACACATGTTGGGCTCAGTTCATTAACCATCTGGTTTCTGAGCCTTCAGGGCCCACTTGAATCACATTCTGAAGCTCTTCTCTCGAACCAGGAGGGCTATTAAATTAATATCCGCTTTTATTAAAAAAATTTAAAAAAGTCTCACATAATCACAAAACCTCAGCTCCTGGGTTCCTAAAAAATGTATCAAATATCATGAGACTTGTAATAAAAATTGTGAGCATTGGCAACACTGTGTAAAGCACTTTTCTTCTGCTAAAAAAAGAAGCTATTCAAAACAGGTGATAAATTAGCCATTTAGAAGCAATGATAAGGGATAAGAGGGCTCAAGGAATTAGTCGTGGGCTTCTATTTCTTGATCATTAGTTCAAATCCAGTCCAATGGTAACCAAAAGTTGTTTTCCTAAGATGGCTGCTCAGTGAGCTATTGTGAAGTAAATTTGAGGATTCAATTCACTTGACAGATGTCCCCTCACAAAAAATCACCACAAATGGTCTACTTCTCAACAGTATCCTCACATAGTCTGTTCAATTCCTGGCCTATCCCACCATTGGTGTGGCAAGTTTTCTTATAGCTCTTTCCCAGACCCCCAAACCTTCCATGTCATCAGGACTCTTTGACTTCCTGGATCCCAATAGGAACAACCAAATTTGTAGGCTGGAACATGGGCTGCTGGAATCCCATGTATTCTGTGACAGCAGAATTTGTAGTAGAATCCAACCTTTGTTCCAGAACCTCAGCTCTCTTCCTTCCTTTCCTAGCTCTTATGCTTGCAAAAAACACCTTGAAAACGTGAATCAAGTGTGAAATGTGGAAATGTGGACCAAGTATAAATGAATGCTGTGATGTCTGCTTGTATCTGAAGGCAATCTGAACAAAATAGCACTAAATCCCAGTGGATTGTTAATTCTGAACCTAAAAATAATTTGTCAACATTGTTAACTATTTCACTGCTGATTATTTTAGCAGAAACACCCAGCGAATGTTCTCCTCCTACAATTCCAAACTGCCTACCTACACTTCCTAATGCCACAAAGGCTCCCTGCTCAACTGCCACAACTTGACACTTCCTCCTGACAATTTATTTGTAGAAATTGTGTTACCCATGCTTACTTTCTGGTATATCAAAAGCTGAGGCCCATATAAAACTGAATATACTATTAGAATAAATACAGGGCAACTGTACTGATATTCAATTTCATTCATTATTTATTATTTGTATTGCAGTAGTGCCTAGCAGCCTCAATCATACACCATGGTGCTAATCACTGTACAAACACTGAACAGAAAGACAGTCCCCACCCTGAAGAATTTGCAATGTAAGTACGGAGCAAAAGACAACAGGTGGATACAGACAGATGGAGTGGTAACAGGGAAACAATGAGACAGCATCAGTCAGAATGATAGGCAGTAGTCTCAGTACACCAGCTGCCTAACTTTTAAAACCATTAAAGAGCTATATTTTATATGTAAATTAAACTACTGCATATTTCCAGTCTGGTGCATGAGTGTGTCACAGAATGAAGGAATCCTCCATAGTGTACCTGAGAACTTGCTTATAGAGTACAAGTTTGCCTCCAAGTTTAGTGCTGCTTCGGGTGGATATTATCAGCTACAATGGAACAGGGATCTTCTGTGATCCTTAACTGACCAAGAGAGGAAGCATGGTCTTGTGGTTAAGGCACTGAACTAGCAATCAGGAGACCTTGGACTCCTTGTGTGACATTGGAGAAATCTTGTGCCTCGATTCCACATTCGTAGAATGTGGAATAGTAATACTCCCTCTGTTTTGTCTATTTACAAGTTCTTTGAGGGCAAGGACAGTCTCTGACTAAGTGTATGTACAGCACCTAGCACGATGGGAGCTGGGTCTCAAGGTGCTACTGCAATAGAAGTAATAAGCTGCAAACAGAAAGATCTTTGCATTATGACAGTGTCATCACATAGTGATGCAATGTGTCATGATACTGCATTATGATGTCACATAATACATTCAGGACTGTATCCGTCCTCTTTCACAAGCCAGGCCTGCAGAACAAATTGGGGCTCTTCTGGGATGGAAGGCAGCATTAAGAGAGGATTTAGAACCCCAAGAGCCTTGCATGATGATGCTGTTAATTTGCTTACTCATATTTTCACAAATGCTGCTCTATGAATTTTTGCCTTTGCACAACACCTTGCAATTCTCGCTGAAGGCTGATTGGACTCACCCTCTGTTTCTGCACTCTGCATCCCAGATTGCTCAAACAGCCCCTTCTTTACAATGCACTCTTCACAATCACAGCAGCTTCCCTAGATTTAACTGAGCCCTTCCTTTCTCACCCCTCCTCCAGACTGCAGAGGAACAGAACATAAGACAGGTTTTTCTCTGTTTGTGCTAAAGCAAAAGGATCATTTTCAAGAGAAGCTCTCTCAGCAAGACAGGTTTCTTTCGTTTAAACCCAAATCCACCTTCTCTGAAGCATAATATATCCAGCAGAACTGCAAGTCCTGGAGGTCCTGATGGATTTTGATCAATCAAGCAAACCAAAAACAACCTGACGTCATTTGCTAGTCCTAATTTTTCGTCTTTCCAAAAAAAAAAAACCAAAAAAACCCCAAAGCCCCTAAAGTAGCTATGTATTTTTTAAGCCTTTTTCAGTGGCCACTTCTTCAGCTATCGCTCTGTCCCACAGTCAAACCTGCAGTAAACGTTATTTCTAGTAAGCGTACACACCAGATCCTCTGCTGGTGTGGCTGCACTGAAGACAGTGAGGCTGTGGTGACTTAGACCAATTTACGGCTGCTGAGGATCTGGCCCTGAGTCCTCTCTTACTCAATCATTTTAAAGTTTTGACTACAATTCTGCCTGACTTGTTGTTGCACACCAGTCTGAGGTGATGGATTTTTTTTTTTAACGGCCTCTTGCAACAGGTTCCTCTGTATATGTACAGATTTGGGATGGCCTGAGAGCACTCTCCTGGTAATAGGAGACAGATGGGTGATGTGACAAGCGAGTTAACACAAATAGGGACCCTCCACAATGCACACATCACACCGAAATAGACACAAAGCTAACTGCAATTCAAACATTTGAGCAGAAAGGAAGAGGACCACTGGGAATTAACACAAGCAGGTACCTGGAGAAGGGCTGGTGACCCACTTGATGCTTCTTGGTGCGTGCTGCCTGCCTTTCTTCAGCGCCTGCGGCACTTCTCTGGGGCCCAGGAAAGCATGGCTGGCCTGCTTCTCGTTGCCACGGCCACCTAGGCTTTCAAAAAAGGAGCTGGTGACCAATCAGACCTCGGGCTGGAGCACACTCAGCCGTGGGTCATGTGATGCCAGCATTTGTGTGAGTGAAAAGGATGACAGTGTCCAGAGGACCAGGGGGAGCTGCCTTTGAATGGGCAATTCCATCTCCCTCCCCTTCGCCCCCTCATTACTGGAAAAGCCCATTCTATTGAGCTGCAGCCCTGAGGGAGGGAGAAAAGAAAGCCCCCTGCTAGAGAGAATAGAAGGGGCTGAGCCAGTGCACTGAAGCCTGCCCCATGCCTACCAAAATTGGATTCAAAAGCTTGAGCCTTTCTACTCATCCTCCCTCTTCACATCCCCATTTCATTTCACCCCAAGCTCCAACAGCTGCTTCCCTGGAGACCAAATGACTCAGCCAGCCTGACTACGAAAGAAGAGAGCTTTCTCGGACCAGGCCCTGCTGGAGAGTTCTTTTGGGAACTGATGTGATCCGGACTGTTCTCGCCATCCCAAGGACCATCCCTCCACCTGCAGCTCCTCTGGGTCCTGTATCTGCCCCACAGCTACAAATGCAGACACATGCACTCAGCAGTACTGCATTCTGGGTCTGGTGCAGAGCTGTGCCTCTCCCGCTTGGGACACAGGAGCAGCGGCAGCATGTGTGTGTTCTGACATGATACTTGTAGCCACACCGTTGTCCTACTGTTCGGCTCATACACCCCATAATATGCTTTCTGAACAACTCAGAGCAGTGATACCAAATCCCTCCTGAGGCAGGTGATGTTGAGAGCACAATTCTGCTAAAGACCCCTTAATGCCATTCTGTTCCCATTCAAATGCACGGGGTGTTCACCATAGGGCACACTGGAAATTAAAGAAAACACTCTCCCCTTCTGCTAGTGGGCTAGTGGTGGTGGGGCTTAGCTCTCTGTTATTCTATAGGGGAAGTTTGAGCCTTCCATAGCTGGTGACTGTAATAGGCTGGCAGTGTTTACCTGAAATACTCCGCCCAGTTAGCTGGTATTGATCCCAGGGTTAAATAGGTTCTGCTGGCTCACTAATGCATGGGACTTATTTACCACCCCAAACAGAAGGGAGGTGAAGGTAGCTCTCTCTCAGGAAGAGAGGATCTAGGGTGTGAGCTCAGCAGTCTGGAGGGAGGATCCATAGAAATAGCCAAGCCTGGGGAGAAGATTTGAGATGACTTATGTTATTTTATTGTTTTCTTCATTAATAAATCCAAACCTTGGAGAAGGAAGGAGATTAGCCTCTATGTACAACACAGAACGGTCTATGTGCCTGATTCTCCACTCCATTACCTTAGCTACTGTATCCTAGTGAATTCCACTGATTCACTAGGGTATACCGGAGAAGTGAGGCATACCAACAGCACAGTATGTTACTGACAATGATCTGCTGCTCACTGCCTCCTCATGGTTAGTTACAGAATGCAGGAAAACAAAGAGCTCTGTGTCTGCTATTAGAACAATTAACAAAACGATGAGGGTGAATCATCCAGTCCAGCAAGAGAAATGGACAAATGAGTTTTACTGGCTGTTCAGAAACAGGCCTTTTCCTGCTGGTCCTGTTTTACTACCTGTACAGAACCCAATGTCCATACCCCTGCCCTGGCCTCTGGGCTCAGCATGTGGCCCTGTAAGATATATAGGGCCAAACTAGCTCCTGCTGTGGCGGTTTTGTACCAATTCACCCAGCGTGCAGGAATCTACACCACCTCCCTCCATATCCCATGGTGTAGGGAAATAGCAGGGGGAAAGGGAGCATGGCCAGAATGGCAATTCCTGGCTTTCAGAACTGCCCCTTGGGACCACAGGCAGTCAGATGTAACATAGCACATCACTGAGACCACTCTAAGTTGTGCCTCAGAAGTAACTTTAGGCTCAACAGCTTGAGGATTAGGTGGGTGTAAGCATGGCCTACCACCTCCTTTGTGGCTCCCAGTCAGTCAGTCCTGAGTATCCACCCTATATATTTTATAAAATGTTTTGTTGTCTGTCCCAAACATGACTATGGCAGTAGCCAGTGGCACCCAGGTAACACAATCCTTATAGTCTGATCATTCCCAGATAGTCCTATTCATAAAAACAAGAGCCAGATTTTTCCCATAGCATAACTATGGACGTTAGGGTCTACTAAAACCAACAGGGATGGATTTGTTACAGTGGTAAGAATTCATGCTCCTGTTCTTTTTAATCACACTGTTTAACTTGAGTGGGTGTGGAGCTGTGGTACGGCAACAAGCACCCTGCAATGTCAGGCCCAGCCTTCGTTTCCCTTGTTTGTCCACCAGTGAAAGGAACATTCTCTAACTGACCGATACAAAGCCCTCCTCTGGGTATAGTGTGTTCATATACACCAGTGCACTAGTTCCCCAGAAGCCTTGTAATAAAACTACTCTCTAATTCCCACAGTAAACATACAGAGAGAGAGGGTTTTTCCATTCCCATCTCCAGGGACCTCACCTCCAAGTCACCCACCTGAGAGTCAACAGCAGCACTCTCCCTCTCCCTCCACCCCCGAGGACACCAATTTCCAGACCTCTCTGCCTGAGAGTCTTCCCACAGCCCTTCACCCAGAGGGCTTTCCCCTTCCTACAGTGTTCCACTCCCCCAGGTATCCCTACCTGCAAGCCCTACATCTGCTCAACAGGGTCCATCATCCCACACCAACCCTCTTGCTTCCTGGCACAGCAACCCTGAGGAGCTGGATCTTTCCCTTTTTCCTAGGGGTCACGGCCCAAACTCTCCTGTAATGCATCAAGGGCTCCTCAGCTCACTCTGCTCTGGCCAGTGCTTATCAACCATCTTCCTCTGAGCTCATCACCAGCAGCTCAAATTTACTGTCCTCCTTCAGGTCTCCTGCAGCCCTTTCCCTCTGACAACTCTCTCTGCTGCATCTTCTGTCTCTCCTCTGGTCTCAGGCAGCTCACCTGCCCTACTTCTTTCAGGCTCTGACTCACCCAGTCTCCAATTTATATAGCCCAGGGCCTTCTCTTAAGCCCAACTGGGAGGCAGTGACTAGTAGTCACAGGTGTATTGGACCCCGCTCCTTCTTAAAGGGGCCAGTCAACCTGTCACAGGAATATAACCACTGTAGCACCAAAGGAGAATGGTAATAATGCCAGCAGCCCCATTAGTGACCCCACAGGTGGGATGATAGCAGACCAGAGTGATAAAACAAGGACATGTCTGAGGAACTTCCTATGGGCAGCTGAGAAAGAAACAAGGGAACTGCCTTTTCATCAGAGTGAAGCCAGTCAGAAATTAAAAAACAGCAGCAGTGTTATTAATACTATTATAGATATAGCTATATAAACACCACCTCCCAGGTTATAATTATATGGTTACATAAAATGGCTAAGCAGTCAGAGACGCAGCAGGCTGGGCATTATTGCATAGTACACCACACCACAATGAGTTGCATCATTAGGCATGAATGATGAAAGATAAATCACCACCAGCCATCAATGAGGAGTGTTGGTTATTAGACCACAACTTACACCTGGGAATGTTTTATCATTCCAACTACTAAATGGCCACACTAATGAAGAAAATAAAATGTCTAGTGTTTCGAACACTATAGAAATAATACCTGTACGCGCTAAGCCACTGTTCCACTATGTTGGGCCAACAGCAGGATTGGAATGGGAACCTTCAGCGCTAAAGCATGAGCCTTTACTGTTTCAGCTAAAGCAATAGTAGCATGACTCATAAACCTCTTTAAACCAGAAGTAATAGTTGCAGATTCATAAACCTCTTATGTGGAGCAACCCCTAGAGGGAGACAAATATCCACATGCTCCTTGCGGGTTACACTGTCACCAAGGGGGTCTCTAGAGCAGCATGTTGAGCTTAGTTCCAAGCTGTCAGTGCAGCAGGTCCCAGGGATGTGGCTAATGTGACATATTTGACAATGGGGAGGGAGTGTCTGGCTTCGCTCTGGAGCAGCGTCCTGTGGATGAGTCAGGGGTGGAGCTGATGTGCTCCAGAAGGAGTTCCATTCAGCTAGAAGGATGGGGCAGTCAGACAAGATACGCCTTGTTGCAGGGGATTAGATAGATCAAATGGACACGGGGATCCTAGAGGACACCTCCTCCTTCCCAACAATTACAATATTACTATACAAAAGGCCAAAGGATAATAATGAAACATTAGACAGGTTTAATGGGGGGGGAATTAACCCATTTAATAATCCATGTCTGAAAGTAAGTAATGTTTTTCCAGGCTCTGCTGGTTTGTTTCATGACTAGCATTGCTGCTCCGGCTCCATAGCTCCTTGGGACTGGCACAGGAAAGCCAATTATTAGTATGGTGTGCTAATGTCCCATCAACATGATGGTGCAGCTTCGCAATGCTTTCATGCACTGACTCAGTGCTGCGATGTGAAGATTCAACATCAAGATGCAGCATCACAATGTGATTTTCATTAAGGGGTCAACCCCTCTGGGAGCCCCCAAAAATGCGATATGAAACAGCTATTAGGGCTTGTCTACACTAGTGAGCTTACAGTGGCACAGGTGTACCGATTCAGCTGTGCTGCTGTAAGATCACTCATGTAGCCGCGCTATGCCGAAGGGAGACATAATAGATGGGAGCTCTCCTGTTGACATAATAAAACCACCTCCCCAAGTGCTGGTAGCTATGTCAGTGAGAGAAACTCCTGCTGATGTAACGCTGTCCACACTGCGCTTCTGTCGGTGTAATTTATGTCACTTAGGGAGATGTTTTTTCATAGTCTTGAGCGACATAAGTTATACCGACAAAAGTGGTAGTATACATAAGCCCTTAGAGATAGAGACAGGCTGACAGAAATAAAACCCAACCCTAAGTAGAGTGCCTTCTCCATCTCCGGATCTGGAAGAGGGCCCAGGAAGTATTGATTTAATTCTTAATTGAATGCATGTTTATGTGAAGTAATTCAGAATTATTCCATCAATGCAAACTTCTCTAATAATATTATCCACACAACCCAAGAGCTTCGTCAGCCTTTCATAA